TGGGAGACAAGGTCTGCGATGCAGGACTGAAGTGCCCTGGGTCAGTAAATGAACAGATTGTGTGTGCTGCTGAGCTCACGTCTTCTTTCTGCCTTCTGTGGCCTATTGTTTTTTCAGTTACTAAATCAGTTTGAAAACACTGGACCGCCGCCAGCAGACAAAGAAAAGATCCAGGCCCTCCCCACCATACAGATCACACAGGAACACGTAGGTATGTATATCTCCTCCAGGGAATCGTTCACAAAGAGCTCTGTGAAAGTTCTGTTTAACGTTTTCTTGGGATTTTAATTTTGTCTGCTAGTACCTTCAAGGCCTAAAACATTTCAAAGCGGGAGAAAGCTGAAGTATTGCTCTGTTATACTCACACGAAAAAAAGAGCAGTGTAGACTGGATGGATTTGCCCTGGGGAGGCAAACTGTTCTGAAAAGTTCAGTGTGGATAGAGATGAAAAAGCAGAAGGGAAGGGAACAATGAAGCAAAGCCAGGGCAGTGGGAGGTGGAATGATGGCGGTAGGAACTGCAAAGCAGCAAGCTTTCCTCTCTGCAGGGTTGAAGCAGCAGTGGGGCAGAAGCCACAACGGCCAGTGGGGGAAGGGGAAAAGGTGATGGGATCCCAAGCTGGATGCTTTGAGTGTCGCTATCTCCTTTGTTGCTTAGCTGCGTTTTGCTTTCTCCGTATGATACAGAATCTGGGTTAGAGTGTCCTGTGTGTAAAGAAGACTATACAGTCGGTGAAAATGTCCGGCAGTTACCTTGCAATCACCTATTCCACAACAGCTGTATAGTCCCTTGGCTGGAACAGGTTAGTGCCGCCTGAGTGGGTGACTTGGGTTTTGTAGCACTTGGGTGTTTTTTCTGGTGGTACTGTTCTCCTCTGTAAATATTTTCATACCTCTATGATGAGGCCTAAGCATGAGCAGCCTTTGATCAGAGGAAGGAGTGTCATCCTAGCCTTTTCCTTGAGTGCTGCTCCTGTATCATGTTTCTAATCCTGTTTCCCATATTTCTTGTTTTGTTTTTGTCTGCTCTCCAAAGCATGACACGTGTCCTGTGTGCCGGAAAAGCTTGAGTGGACAAAACACTGCCACAAACCCCCCAGGACTCACAGGGATGAACTTCTCATCATCCTCCTCCTCCTCTTCCTCCAGCTCACCAAGTAACGAAAACTCATCGAACAACTCATGAAATCTTAAGCCAACCCTCTGTCCCTGGGGCCCTGTCCATTGTCCTTCCTCCCTCCCCAGCCAACGTAAGCAACGAAAGGGGCTTCCAGAGCAGAGCGAGGGGAGGGTAGCAAGGGGGAAGCAGCACCCCCAGAATTCCCTTTTGAGTTCTGAAGACACGGAGACTCTGGGTCCTTCAGAGATGAGAAGCCTCGAGTTCTGTGACGGGGGGAAAGAGCTCTGTCTGTTAATAAAAACATCCATTTGCCCCGTGGACTTTTCACCATTGCAGTGAAAGGCTGCTGCGCTCCACAGGTGGGAAACCCGAGGTGCTGAGCTAGCGGTTGCAATTCTGAATGGTTGTTAGTATGGTTTTGAATTTGAGATTTCTTTCTTTATTTCTTTTGCTCCTCCTCCTCCCCTTGGATTCTATCTCTTCTGCTTTGGAGATTGAAGTCTTTAAAATGAAAGCGTAATGATACTGCCTCCCTCCCAGGATCTCCAGCTGGGGAGGGCCGATAGTTGTCACTGAAAAAAATGAACTCTTGAAATAGATCCCATTATCCTTCCTTTCCCCACCTCAAGTCCCATTTATTTTTCTTTATAACCCCACCCATCTGATACTCAACACTGAAAGGGTTTTTATAATTTTAAATTATTACTGCTGTTAAATAAATGGACGTTTCAGCTCAACAAGACGTTATGCATGATTTGGGGAAAACTACAGGGTAAGCTCTCTGGAGACTGCTGTGCTGAGCCGTCCCGTTCACCCCAGGGCAGGCTGGGCTTGTCCGAGCCCTCCTGCCTGCCAAGCGCAGGCATGCTGTGAGCTCCAGGCACCAGACTCCGTCATGACCAGCACCCGTACGTGCGTTGCCAGCCTGCGGATTGTTGAGCGGTTGGCTGCAGGATTGCAACTGAAAGCATCCTTGCGTGGTCTTTTGTATTTTTTACACCTTCTCCCTGTTGCAGTCCTGCCCTTCTCTCAGCCTGAGTGGACTTTTCCTCTGTGTCGACATCAGGACTGGGTGTGCATCAGAGCAAGGACCAGCCAAATATCATTGTGATCAAATAATATAGAGAAAAAACTACATTTTGGAGAAAAATGTATTTCAAAGCTACTTAAAATACAGCTGATTAAAAAAGGAGAGAGAGACAAATATCCAGGTGTGTTTGTGACTCAGTTTCTGTGACAGAGATGGAGGTTGGAGAATGAAAAGAATGTGACCAGAGCAGGCACTGTCCTCCCTGCTGCCTGTGTCCATGCTCCAGGCCGGGAGGTGGGAGAGGGACAAAAACCTGGGTTCACTTGGCACCTGCGCCGAGGGCCTTTGGTTTAGTTCTGGTCACGCTGGGTCTCTAGCGCAGCCCCACCAGCTCCGAGAGAGCCCTGGGTCAGGAGCGCGGGGCAGGGCCGCGCGCTGGGGTAGGCGATGCGCTCGCAGTGTGCGTGGGGAGAGCTGGGGAGGTTTCTGCTCTGCTTGGGGCTTTTGCCGCGCAGCCCAGCGCGGAGCGGGCGGGAGGAGCAAGGCGGTGGCCCGCGTGGCGTGGGACAGATGTCGAGTGATGCCCCTTCCTGTTGCGGGGACTTTGGGCAGTTGGTGGGTCTCCCTGACGCGCTCACTGGCCGCTTGTGACGGCGCTGCGTGCCCCAGGCCGCGTGCTGGGACCTCGCCGTGGCAGGCACCGCAGGAGCAGGTGGGGAACCCGCCCCTGTGGGGGCTGCCAGGTGGGATGGACGGAGGGTTCGGGGGCTTGGGAGGCTCCCCGCGTCTTCTCCGGGTTCGGGACCCTGGGCACGGGGCGGGTGGCGGGAC